CTGGGGAAGAGATATTTCCCTGTTTCTGCCATTCCACGTGGTCAGAACACTCCTTTTGGAGCAAGGACTGCTGATACGCTCTTTAAAAACCTGAACATTTAGTTTGGACCTCAATGGATGAGACCCCAGAGGTTGCATGAAAAATACCTTTTTTTTCTATCCTGAAACACCCAGAGTCCCAGAACTCTGCCTGTCCCATATTACACTGCACATCCCGTTCACAAATGGCTGAGAGAGGTAGGGCATCTGCTTGGCGCGCAGAAGGTCCCAAGTTCAATCTCCAGCATGTCTAGTTAAAGGACCAGGCAGTAGGTGAAAGACAGACCGTGATGGACCAAAGGTCTGAAGAAGGAGGAGGGAGAGGAGGAGGAGGAGGAGATTGGATTTATACCCCGCCCTTCACTACCCGAAGGAGTCGCAGAGTGGCTTACAATCTTCTTCCCCTTCCCCTTCCCACAACAGACCCTGTGAGGGAGGTGAGCTGAGAAAGCTCTCTCTCGAGAACAGTTCCTGAGGGAACAGCTCTGAGAGAACTTGTGACTGACCCAAGGTCACACCAGCAGCTGCATGTGGAGGAGTGGGGGAATCAAACCTGGTTCTCCAAGATTAGAGCCTGCACTCCTAACCACTACACCAAACTGTCACTCAAGGCAGCTTCAATGTGTGTTCACATTAGCCAGGAATCTGTGCTTTTCTCCTGGCCTACCTGTCCATCCAGTAGGGCACCGGCAGTGGTACTGGTTTACAGAGAGTGGCTGGCAACTTCCTCCGTGTTGGCAGGGTGAAGGGAAGCATGGGTCTCCAATCACCGCCTGGCATTCCTCCCCGGTGAACCCAGGAGGGCACACGCAAGTGTAGGCCGGGGGGCTGGAGGTTTGAAGGATCTTGAGGGAGCAGGTACCCATGTTCTGGCAACGCCCAGGGATGCAGGGGTCCACAAGTTGGCACAGGTCTCCCATGTAGCCGGGAAGGCATCTAATAAGGCAAAACCCAAAAACAACAGAAAAGGAAAGGGTGAAAAACCTGGCTGGACGCCACAAGGACTGAGCCCTGGAAAAAAGAAACCTCAAATGAACACAGCAAGAAAACTACTGAAGTAACAGGCCGACTAACTCATTGTTTAAAACAATGCTGTTTCCTGGAAGTCTCACAGTCCCTGGTGTGAACGTCCTGCTCACTTCTCCCGGATATGTGGGATTCATGCGGCTGTGTGATGGGCAGAAAATCAACCGGCGTAGCCATAAGATGCCAAAATGGAGATACTGTACCAGTTGAATCCCTGGAACAGTCTCCCACCCCAGTTGAACGATGAGTGCAGATTCAGGAGATGTCGCTCATGACCTGGGACCCACATATTTGAAGGGCCATTCTCTTCCATGTGTCCGTCTAATATGCCCTCTCCAGCAGGGGCAGATTAACCATTAAGCAGACTAAGGACGTGCTTAGGGCACCAGGGCCAAAGGGGGCACCACAAAGTTGGGGAAAGGGCGAAAAGCTTAGATTGTACAGTATATTGTGTTATCATATGAATACATTTTTGTATTGCTGCAACCTGCATTGTATATCTGGTCAGACAGGTCAACAACTAAAATGGACTGGGCAGGGCCAGCCTTAGCTTATTTTGCACCCTAGGCAAGGATCCCTTCTCCCCCCCCCCCGGCGCCCACCACTTTTCAAAAATAAAAATAAATGCATTTTAGGAAGAATGAAAAACACAAATAATCAAGAAACTCCCAGAGTACGGGGCCGGGTGCATTTTCGTGCCCCTAAGGGCCAGCCTGCTCTAGGCGATCGCCTAGTTCGCCTAGTGAGTGAGCCGGCCCTGGGACCAGGGGGGTCAGTGTGGAAAGGAGGGGGGGCACCAAGATTGGTCAGTGCTTAGGGCACCAGTGAGCCTTAATCCGCCCCTGCTCTCCAGTCATCAGGCTACCCCACCAGCATCAACCAGACCCTGGGCCTTTTCCATCATGGCTGCGGCTCTAGGGAACGGGCCCCCTGAAGAGGCAAGGAGGGAGGGACCTCCTCTTTGGAGATCTTCAGGAGATGCTGGGAGGCCTGCTCATTTGTCAGGGGTTTGGAGGGGGTTTGAATGGCAGGCATCTTTTAAGGGGAGGGAAGGGGAAGAAGAAGAAGAAGAAGAGGAAGAAGAGGAAGAGGAAGAGGAGGAGGAAGAAGAGGAGGAAGAGGAAGAGGAGGAGGAAGAGGAAGAGAGAGGAAGAGGAGGAAGAAGAGGAAGAGGAAGAGGAAGAAGAAGAGGAAGAAGAAGGGGAAGGAGAAAAAGAAGGGGAAGAAGAAGGGGAAGAGGAAGAAGAAGGGGAAGAAGAAGGGGAAGAAGAGGAAGAGGAGGAAGAAGAGGAGGAAGAAGAAGAGGAAGAAGAGGAAGAAGAAGGAAGAAGAAGAAGAAGGAAGAAGAAGGAAGAAGAAGAAGAAGGAAGAAGAAGCATCATGGCTGCAGCTCTAGGGAACGGGCAAGGAGGGAGGGGCCTCCTCTTTGGAGATCTTCAGGAGATGCTGGGAGGCCTGCTCATTTATCAGGTTTTGGAGTGGGTTTGAATGGCAGGCATCTTTTAAGGGGAGGGAAGGGGAAGAAGAAGATGATATTGGATTTATACCCCACCCTTCACTACCCGAAGGAGTCTTGGAGTGGCTTACAATCACCTTTCCCTTCCTCTCCCCGCAACAGACACCCTGTGAGGTAGGTGGGGCCGAGAGAGCTCTGAGAGAACTGCTCGTGAGAGAACAGCTCTGAGAGAACTTGTGACTCACCCAAGGTCACCCAGCTGGCTGCATGTGGAGGAGTGGGGAATCCAAACGGGTTCTCCCAGATTAGAGTCTACCGCTCTTAATCACTACACCACACTGGATCTCTGAGAGATATTGGGGTCTGCCATTTTATTTTTGGCTTTAACTGAAAATATTTTTAACTAGTATTATAAAGCCACCTCGAACCATGAGGATAGGCAGGGTATAAATGTGTTAATAAATAAAAAACGACATGCAGCCTTAGTCAGTGTAGGTGGATGCAGTGAAGGAGAGAAATCTGCACCTGTTGATCATCTGCCTGCCCTACCAGGCCTGTCCCCCAACTGAAACAGTCGTAATGCTAATGAAGAATTGGAATCTTGTTGCAGGCTTACAGGCAGGTGAAGTTCCCGCTGGGATTGCTCAAGCAGCTTCCTCCATTCTTGCAGGGATCTCGTGAGCAAGAAAGACCTAGAAGAGAGATAGAAAGACTGAGGCTGTTATAGAAGAACTAGCTCAGTCTATAACGCCTGGCCCTCGCAGACATCCTTGCCAAACAAGTAGGGTTCCCAACTCTGGCTTGGGAAATTCCTGGAGATTTGGCAATGAATCCAGGGGAAGGGGGGCAGTTGGAGAGAGAGTTCAGCCGAGGTGTGATGTCAGGCCGTCTGCCCTAGGGTTGCCAGCTCTGCGTTGGGAAATACCTGGAGATTCTGGGGGTGGAGCCTGAGGGGGCGGGGCTTGGGAGGGGCGGGGCTTCAATGGGGTAGAAAGCCACAGAGTCCACCTTCCAAAGCAGCCATTTCCTCCAGGTGAACTGATCTCTGTGGCCTGGAGATCAGTTGTAATAGTGGGGGAACTCCAGGCACCACCTGGAGGCTGGCAACACCATCTGCCATTTCCTCTAAGGGTGCTGATCTCCTAGTTACCTATTTTGTAACCCACCTTTCTGACCTTACAAGGGCTGCCGAGGTGGCTAACGATTTAGAACATCCGTGATACAATCAGAAGTTAAAGCCGGTAAAATCAGTACCCCCAAAAAAACACATACACACATCATTAAAACAAACAGAGTTTAAAATACATTTTAAAACAGCAATTAAAACAATGGTTAGGAAGGAGGGAACACTGAGGGGGTTGTAATCGGGAGATCCGTTATAATTCCCGGAGAGCTGCAGCCACCCCCTGGATGTTGGTAACCCAAGAAACAAGGAAAAAAGGCCCTGTGCCTAGAAAACAAGCATACCAAGGAAGAAGGGACCAAGCCTATCCATCTCACCATGTGCTCATTGTCTACATGCAGGGATAGATGAGTGAGTACGAAGGATCGTTTGGTCTTGGGGACCTCCCGGGCTTCCACATTATATAGCCCAGATGCAAAGTGAACACCTTCTTTGCTGCCCTTCAGGAATACGTGATCTTCACAGCATTTTTAAAAGGGCAATGGTAGCCGTGAAGGGGCCAGATTCAGCTAAGAACTGGGGGACTGGATTCCTTTTGCACAGTTTTGCTGATCAAAAGCTACTGTCTTGGGTCGTTATTCTGGGAAAGATGGGGGGGGAGGGTGCCGTCTCTTTGCTTGACTTGACCCCCCCCCCTCGGTAGTGCTGATAACCAACCGGCAGACCAAGCAGTTTCCCCTTTTAAAAAACACCAAGGAGGCCCATTCACAGATCTCCTGATGTTTGTTTTGGCCCAGGCTGAGAGGTCAGGGGAAGGGGAAGACCACAGCTTAGTAGCAGAGCATCTGCTTTGTGTACAGAAGGTGCCAGGCTGAACCTCTGGCGTCCACAGCTCAAGGAACTTCATAAACACATGAAGTTGCCTTACACTGAACCAGACCATCCATCCATCAAGGTCAGTATTGTCTATTCAGACTGGCAGCAACTCTCCAGGTTCTCACACAGAGGTCTTCCCCATCACCTACTGCTTGGTCGTTTTGACTGGCGATGCCGGGGGATTGAACCCGGGACCTTCTGCATGCTAAGCAGATGCTCCCCCACTGAGCCATGGCCCCTCCTCATAACCTCAGGCAGTGGGACAAGGAAGAACTTGGGAGAACTGGTTCTGTTCACATGCAAACCAATGCGTGTGCTGTCTTATGTCTGACACCTATTTGCATACAATCCGTATTAAACACAATTATTCTGTTGCACCATCCCACTGCCACCTGTTCCTGAATTCATTAGTTCCACCCCCACCCCTTCACACAGGCACATAGTCACACGTAAGCCATCTAGCAAACACTTTGCGCACCCATGGCTTTTCGGCAAGCCCAGACGGACACTGCTAACGCATGCATCAACACAGGCCTTACCCCAAAGATGGCAAGCAAGGCTACCAACTTCTCAGCTGGCGGCTTGATCCAAATCAATGTGCATGTGGCAACGTTCTCCCCCTTGCTATGGGGCTATGTAAAGTTTTTCCTGGCTGATTCCCGCCGCTCACACCCCTGTGCCAAGATACGGCTGGAGAAACTGGTCGAAAAGTTGGTCTGGTTAACCGACAGCCACAAAGGATCCACGCCAACCCACCTGTCATCCTACCAATACTTACCTCGAGCAAATGTAATCAGAGTCAGCAGCAGCAGATGTTTCATCCTGTTTTGGAGACCCTCTTCCCCTCCTTTCTTTCAGTTCCAGAAGCGGTCTTCCCCTTGTCTGGAGCAGGGTGTGGAACCCAAGGTCAGCGGTCAGGAAGACCCTGGTGAAGGAATGACCCCTGGATGTCCCCCACCCACGGAGCCCCCCATATCGGTGCCACAGTCAAGACTCTTTGCCTGAAGGAATTCTTCTCGGTCACACCACCCACCCCCACTTCAAGAACAAGGCACATCCTGCTGTCCCTGGACTCCATTGTGGGAGATTTCCTGCCCCACACAATACATGGGAGGAGAAAGATTTCCTGTTACCCAGGGCACTCTTGTCAACAATCCAAAAAAAGGGATGGCGAATACTGGGAGGAGGGCACTGGAATCCAGAGGGGGCACAGGGACCATTACAAAAAAGAAAAATGCCCAGAGAGGAACTGATGTAGTGAGAGAGTACCAATTTGCAGAGTCCTTGTGTAAACAGAGAGAATCAGCACCAGTCCAGAAATCCTCCCACTGTAGACAAGGGCAGTAGAAGAGCTAAATAGTTCTATGCAGAAGCCTCAGATTCAAATCTTGGCTCATTGGTGAAGCTCCCTTGGTGGACTCTGGTATGTGACTGTGAACACGTGTCAACCAGAGACAGAAATCCTAATCTTTCCATCATACCTGCTCAGGCAATGGCTGACATGAGAAGATGGGCCTGAATTTTGGCGGGAAAGGGTGGTGGTGGTGGTGTGAATTCCCTTAACACAGACCTACGGCGAAAGACTTGGCTATTACAGATCAATATGTGAGCTTCTGCTTTCTTTAGTTCAGCAGTTTCCTGTCCATTCACAGTTTTCCTCCAAGGCCTGGTTCATGCATGAGGTGACATCCGACATTCTAGTTAGACAAAATTCAGAGATGATCGAGGTCTCAGATCTCTTTTGTGCTGTAATGCCAATAAAGGTCTATGGGTGTGTGTCTCAGATATCTGTTTGAGGGTCCCCTTCTTTCTCTGTTTGTCATATGATAATGTCAGGTTTTCCCTCAATAAAGCCCTTTAAACTATATAAATAGTATGATATGCAAATAGTATAAGAAGAAGAAGAGAAGAGATTGGATTTATACCCCGCCCTTCACTACCCAAAGGTGTCTCAGAGCGGCTTACAGACTTCTTTCCCTTCCCCTCCCCACAACAGACACCCTGTGAGGTGGGTGGGGCTGAGAGAGCTCTTGACAGAAACTGCTCTTTTTCAAGAACAGCTCTTATCAGAGCTACGGCTTGCCCAAGGTCATCCAGCCAGGTGCAAGTGGAGGAGTGGGGAATCAAACCCGGTTCTCCCAGATTAGAGTCCGCGCACTTAACCACTACACCAAACATTTTAATGTGCTATTAGGGCTGCTGACTCCAGTTTGGGTGGGAGTTGGGGGACGGAATACCCTCAGCAGGGAGCAAGGCCACAGAGTCCACTCTCCAAAGCAGCCATTTTCTCCAGGGAAACGGATCTCTGTTGTCCGGAGATCAGTTGTAATTCTGAGGGATCTCCAGTCTCAACCTGGAGACTGGCAACCCTATATGCTATGAAGAAGAAGAAGAAAAGATTGGATTTATTCCCCTCCCCTCACTTGGAGTCTCAGAGCGGCTTACAATCTCCTTCCCTTCCTCTCCCCACAACAGACACCCTGTGAGGTAGGTGGGGCTGAGGGAGCTCTGAGAGAACTGCTCTTGAGAGAACAGCTCTGAGAGAATTTGTGACTCACCCAAGGTCACCCAGCAGCTGCGTGTGGAGGAGTGGGGAGGGGAATCAAACCCGGTCCTCCCAGATTAGAGTCGGCATACTTAACCACTACACCAAACTAAATTCAGATGGGCATATATATCCAACACCGTGCTCTATGAAATCCTGTCATCCTGTCATTCTGTCCTCTTGCCTGGCTATCAGCCAAGCTATTTTCTTGGAGGTTGGTAAGAAAGGAGGAGGAGGAAAAGCATTAATGGCTTAAATGTTGCTAAATTTACGGGTCAGACTACTGGGCAATATGATAGGTCCTTCCATTGAAGCAGGGCTGCCAATGCTCTCTCTAAGCTGTCGGGTCCTGTGAACAAAAATTCCACTTTGTGAGCTACTGGCATTTATGAATGAGCAATTTGGCCACTGCAAAAATTAATTTGCTCTGGAGCCACCCTTCCTGAGCTAAGACAAAAATGTGTGAACTGGAGGCTTTAAAACTGTGAGCTATCTCACACTAACTCAGCTTAGAGGGAACATTGCTGCCAGCTCTGGGAATGCACAAATCTGGCACGGGGTGAGTCTAGGGTTGCCAAGTGGACTTACCCCTCGCGGTGGGGGAGCCTCGCCGCGGTCCGGGAGTTGTTGTTGGTCGTGTGCGCGTGCAAAGCGCGCGCCCGCCAGCAGCCCGTCACCAGAAGTGACGTGCGACGTTACTGACGTTGGGGGCGTGGCTGAAGACACTGCGGGGGAACTTGACAGCACTTTACAGGCACAGCACATACCGTGCTCAGGTCCAATGTTCCCTCTAAGCTGAGTTAGTGTGAGCTAGCTCACAGTTTTTTAGCCTCTGGCTCACACATTTTTGTCTTAGCTCAGGAAGGAGGGCTCCAGAGCAGACTAATTTATGCAGGAGCCAAATCCCTCGCTCACAACTTTAATGCCGGTAGCTCACAAAGTAGAATTTTTGCTCACCGGACACGACAGCTTAGAGGGAGCATTGCTCAGGTCCCTCCCCTCCCCAAACAGGATCCACCCTGATACCTGCAGGAATTTCCCAACCTGTAGCTGGCGACCCTACTGACTGGGTTGGCTGCCCTTTGATATATCTCTATCCAAATTTCTCCTTTGAGATTTTGGTAATGAAAACATTGACTGTCCTCTGCATTGCTTCCTTGCTCCCTGATTTTGGTTTGTTTACCTTGTCTTCCCTGGCACAATCCCAGGTCTTTCCCAAACAGCGTTTATCCAGTAATGTTGCCGGTTGCTTCCGAAGCACATCCTGTTTATCTACATCTTCAGTCTGTCTTAGAGTCACAGAACTGGAAGAAACCCAATCTGCTCTGGTTCCAAACCCTAAAACAGGATATCCACTAGCTATATCATAATCTCTGACAGTTGCCAGACACACCTTCCACAACATTCCCGTGTAGGTGGGTCCGTAGCTGACCCACTGCTGTAAAGAGGAGCCGCATGACATTAGACAGTCTGTAGAGGGATTTTCCTGTCTGCATACAGCTCCCTCTGCAAAGGGTGACACTAGCAGGGCTATCCACAAATTGCACCTAAAATTAAATTTAGATTTGCTACTACTAAGGAAGTATATCCGGTAAGCTGTCCTTGAAAGGGCAGTCCTTGAAAGAGCTCTCTCAGCCCCACCTACCTCACAGGGTGTCTGTTTGTGGGGAGGGGAAGGGAAAGGAGATTGTAAACCATTCTGAGACTCCGAGTGAAGGGTGGGGTATAAATCCAACCTCCTCCTCCTCCTCTTCTTCTTTGTTGGACCCAAGTTCTTTGATAAGAGTGATTAGTGGGGCGTAAAATAGGAAATGTTAAGACAGGAAAGCACTGAAATCTAGAGGAAGGTATCGAGATCCTCAGCAGCCTGACCTGCAGGTCGTCTAGGAAAAGCTCTTCCTCTACTGGGAAAATCAACTGGGACTTATTGCCAGGTAACAAACACAGGAGAGCAAACACCAGGTGGGTACAGGTTGCTGTATTCATCCACCGCCAAGATCAATATGGGCAGGTCCCGACTTTGCATAGCTCCTAGGGATGCCGGCCTCCGAGCAGGACCTGGGGATCCCCCGGAAATACAGCCAATCTCTAGACTACAGAGATCAGTTCCCCTGGGGGAAATGGGTGCTTTGGAGGGTGGCCAAGGGCGACATGGCAACCCTAATAGCTTCTCCTCCTCCAAGTCGGAAGCTTTGATAGCTACCCAATTAGACCGTACACATACAACTAAAAGAGTGGGCGGTACAAATCTCCCTTCCCAATAGAAAACTAGCCCTTCAGGGAGAGAGGCTGTATTCTCAGACCCTTTCTCTGCTGTGTGGCTTTTCTGTCTGCCTGGACTTTTCTTTAATGCGGGGGCAGGGTTTGGAAATGTGACTCCCCTCTCTCAGGGTCTGAAGAAGTATGTATGCACATGAAAGCGTATACACAGAATTAAACTTTGTTGGTCTTAGAGGTGCCCCCCTGGACTCAAACTTTGTTCTGTTGCTTCAGACCAACATGGCTACCCCCAGGGGTCGTTTTGTAGAAAAAGAGCTAGGGGAACTCATTAGCATAACTCATTAGCATATGCCACACCCCCTGACATCACCGGAAGTGTGTCATAAGGTCACACCCCCTGACATCACCGGAAGTGTTTCATAAGGTCACACCCCCTGACATCACCGGAAGTGTTTCATAAGGTCACACCCCCTGACATCACCGGAAGTGTTTCATAAGACCACACACCCCGCTCCCAACGGTCCCGGCCGCCGCCGGCGGCCTTGGGGTTGGCTGCCCTTTGATATATCTCTATCCAAATTTCTCCTTTGAGATTTTGGTAATGAAAACACTGGCTGTCCTCTGCATTGCTTCCTTGCTCCCTGGTTTTGGTTTGTTTACCTTGTCTGCCATGGCACAATCCCAGGTCTTTCCGGTTGCTTCCGAAGCACATCCTGTTTATCTACATCTTCAGTCTGTCTTAGAGTCACAGAACTGGAAGAAACCCAATCTGCTCTGGTTCCAAACCCTAAAACAGGATATCCACTAGCTATATCATAATCTCTGACAGTTGCCAGACACACCTTCCACAACATTCCCGTGTAGTGGGTCCGTAGCTGAACCACTGCTGTAAAGAGGAGCCGCATGACATTAGACAGTCTGTAGAGGGATTTTCCTGTCTGCATA